AGGAATACCATGGAACTTAAAAAGGGAAATTATACCCATGCTATAAAAAACTCTGCACACAACTCTGTCTCATCTGAAGTCGTGCAAGTCACTGTCACAGATGTGTCATAAACATATTATAGTCTCACAAATATTAAAATGGGTGCTATCTGTACAATGTTGCCTTTTTTACATAAGTAACTTAGTTATGCAGACTTAGTTATGGTGAAATAATCACTGGTGGTTTTGGTTTTTCTTTTATAACTCAGATACAGTTATAATACAGCTGATGCTGTTGTTTTAGAGTACCTGTGGTTAACTTACAATAACTGAAGGTGTTATGGCTTGTGACTTAAACATTTCCATGAAGGATTTTTTTACACATTATAGCAAAACTATACAAAAGCTGTAGGGAGAGTCACTAAGATTCTGAATGGGGCCGTGGCTGCAGCTGCACTGACCAAAAAGATAAGAAGAATGCATGAGAAAAGGATCACAGCTTAACACCTCCTGGCTATAGACTGCTAAATCAGCACACACCCTGACGCAAAAACGTGAGAGTGGAAGGAAGAGGAACTTTGGAATGTGTAGTGGAGAAGCCATTTGGTCAGAGGAACTCATGGAATGTCCATGCTCTGCTGCACAAAGGATCCTGGATGGTGGGAGCCCAACCTTCAGACAATCCCATCTGCATGGACCCCAACCTTCAGACAATCACATCTGCATGGACCCCAACCTTCAGACAATCCCATCTGCATGGACAGCCCAGGGGTGTCGTGACCCATCAGGGCCCTGCTACGGACACTTCCCCATGGACAGTGACCATCTGCTGAAACTACGGAATAGGGGTCACATAACGACCCCAGGAGCATAAACATCATCACTGCCCATGCTCTAAAAAGGCAAATCCATGTTAAACAGCTCCTGGAAAAGTTTGAATATGCATAAATGTCTATGAATAAGCATTAAGCTGATGCAACGTGAAAAGTATTTAAAGAGGTCTCTGTCAATACCAGGTGTGCTTCTGGCAAACTGCCAAGGCACCTGGCACCATATCTTTTGCTTTTATGTAYCCTATTGTCATTTATTAAAACCTTTTAAATTTTAACAGGAGAGTGAACTTCGTTTTTCACAGATGGATACTCCGTAGAAAACCTTTTGTGAAAATCATTAGGAGATTTATTGTATGGATATTTAAAGGAAGATGGGTGCGTGGATCACATTCCAGTGTATTTCATGGCCTTTTGTCTAGGAAGGATTCCATACATATTTCATATACAGAAGTCCTGGGGCATTGCTCGAGTAGGGCAGTTGCATTGCTCCACACTGTCCTTGGTCATGCAGTTCTTCCTGAGAGCTGGCTGCTGGTTATGCAATGTGATTTGGGCTTGAGAGAGAGACAGGTTTTCAGTGCCCATCATTACCTGTCCAGGAAGGCTCTCTTAACTTCTGTGAGGCTGCTGTTGATTGTCCTACAGCAATCTGTTTGATTGTCATGCTTTTCCTTCAAGATGTGATCTTCACAGCAGGTTAGKGGGATGCACAGAAAACAGTGTTCTTGTTTAGAGACAACAAAAACGTGGTGATCACTGATCTGGACACTTCTTCATGAGAAGGCATGCAGAGAAGTAATTTTTAACTGTTGTCAGTAGCCRTGGCCACATGCTGTTTAACTAACAGCCTAAGCAGAAAATATGATCTTTTGAGAAATGTTAGMGCTCTTTTGTGTAATTCTCACTTTTCTTGATTAATGCCATTGATCATCAATATTCTTGTATTCTGCTYGTGACCATTCTAGTCTGTTTTAGGCAACCTTGAATGCAAGAACACAATGAGGATAAATGTTACAGCATTGGAAAAAAACACAGAAGGTTTTAATCAATTTTGGAATTATTATCCTAATCAGCTAATCTGCTCTCATGAATGAATGGAGCTGTTGAAGAAAGGAATGTTATAGATACAGAGATGTGATGAGACGTTTTTACATAAAATCCTGAAAGAAAAAGGTGGAATCTAGAAAAACCCCAAGGAGACYTGTGGACACCAAGATTTTTATCTTAGTGTTATTTTATCCAGTGAAACAGTATCTGCCTCGGATATGTTCCAGAAACCACCCTCTAGATGGCAGGAGTTTGTCGCTTCACTCAAACCGAAAAGGAGTAAAACATCTCATTCTTAGAACCAGTAGAGTGGCCTGCGGCTGTAATACAAGTGAATAGAAAAAATTAGATGAGAACAGCCAATTTAGAGCTTACAGRATTTCCATTAGCAGTGCTGGATTAGTCTCTGGGGAGTTGTTGCAGACTTATTTCAAAGATAAATGCAGAAAGTAATGAGAGTCAGCCCATCTTTGGGTTTTCAGTTACCTTTATGAGAGAAGCAGTGCAAGGACAGTGAGTGTGTCTCTGAACTGTTATCATTCCGTGCTGCCGTGCAGAGGATCAGAGCTGTCATGTCTTTCCTTAATGCTGGCTGGCTGGCAAGATAACAGGACAGGACTCTGTGAGGGCCGCCCCACATGGCCTGACAAAGCTGTTTGTCTAGTCAAGACCTGTCATGACAGCACATTTATTGGTGGCTGTCTTAGCCCTAAGCTGAACTACCTGCAGAGGACACTGGAGAGAAAAGTGAAAGTCACTTCTGCAAACTAAATGATGCAATGACAGCAGAGCTGTCTTGGTTACTCTTCCCACACTAAAGGCATAACACTGCAGCAGCATGCCCTGCTTTTCTCTTCTGTTCTACTCTGCTGCATCATCATGCACCTCATAAAGCTAGTTTTACCTATGCAAAGGGCCAGAGGATGCTAAGAAATCAGAATMCCTCAAAAATAAATGGCTGTCCATCATACAGAACAATGGATTTTTGAGCAATCTCTTTCCACCTCRCTCTCTTTTTCATTCACCTTCAGTCATGTGGCAAGGCAGAGCAGTGGCACTATGGATTCCATAATTCCATAAGGCAGTAAATTCACATTTCAAATGGGAACAATTCAGCAAAAGAATGTTGGGAACAGTCGTCTGAGGGAAGGCAGGATTGCTTTTCCCAGTGGCAAAGCCAGGTAGTGCCACTGCAGCTCATATGGACACTGACCATCTTCAGCTMACTTCCTCCTCTGCTCACCTCATACAAATTCTTCCTTTGCTGGGGGGCACGTTTCAAGAATGGACATTTATATATTCCTTAAGCTACTCACAAAATAACAAAGGATTCATGCYTTCTCACTTCTGTTACTGAAAATTATTGAGATCCAAAAGGAAAATCGGGAAATTAAGTGTGTG